CTAAACCCTAAACCCTAAACCCTAAACCCTAAACCCTAAACCCTAAACCCTAAACCCTAAATCCTAAAAGCTTGGCCTTAGGCTTTTAACTCCTCTAAACCCTTTCTCCTAGACCCTAACAACTCGATCCTAAACCCTAAACCCTAAACCCTAAACCCTAAACCCTAAACCCTAAACTGTGGGTGTATACAACAGAAGTTGCTGGCAAAGCCTCGCAGCAGTAAACCCTAAACCCTAAACCCTAAACCCTAGGGCCCGTACGAGCTAGGGTTTATAACCCGATACCCTAAACCCTCAAATATATTAAACAGCGGATTAGGGTTTAGGGTTTAAGCTAAACCCTAAACCCTAAACCCTAAACCCTAAACCAAGGAGAGGAACCGTAAACCCTAAACCCTAAACCCTAAACCCTAATGCTGGGGGGCTGCTAAGAAGAGACAGAAGAGAGACAGCTCGCTCGTTAGGGTTTAGGGTTTAGGGTTTAGGGTTTAGGGTTAGGGCTATAGAGAGATTGTTTACTACTCAACGCAGAGAAACCCTAAACCCTAAACCCTAAACCCTAATATCTAAACCCTCCTAAACCCTAAACCCTAAACCCTATGAATAAACAGTAGGCCGCTATAAACCCTACCCTAAACCCTAAACCCTAAACCCTAGAACAGATACAAACCCTAAACCCTCGTTGCGTACAGGTCAAACCCTAGAAACCCTAAACCCTAAACCCTAAACCCTAAACCCTAAACCCTCAATATCTAAATGGGGTTTGTTGAAAGACGGCAGATACAGCAGAGCACGCAGCAGCAGCAGCAAAATATATTGCTGCTGCTGCTGCTGTTGCTGCTGCTGCTGTACGCGTTGCAGCAGCAAGAGCAGCCGGCATATATATACAAACCACCAATCGAGCTGCTGCTGCTGCTGCTGCTGCTGCTGCTGCTGCTGCATTTTATCTAATAAGCAGTGCAACAATTTGCTTCTGTATTGCTCTTGCTGCTACTGCCTGTGTTGCTGTTGTTGTTGCTGCTGCTGCTGCTGCTGCTGCTGCTGTACTTGCTGCAGCATCTCCTGCAGGACGTATAGCAGCAGCAGCAGCAGCAGCAGCAGCAATACTTACTCTGGACTTGCTGCTGCTGCTGCTGTTGCTGCTGCTGCTGGTGCTGCAGCAACATCTGCATTGGCGGCTTGCTGTAAAGAGATGGCCGCGGCGCTATTCCGCTGCTGCTGCTGCTGCTGCTGCTGCTGCTGCTGCTGCAGCTGTTGCTGCTGCTGCTGCTGCTGCTGCTGCTGNTGCTGCTGCTGCTGCTGCTGCTGCTGCTGCAGCTGTTGCTGCTGCTGCTGCTGCTGCTGCTGCTGCTGCTGCTGCGGCGGCTGCTTCTGTATCCACATACGCCCCCAGCGGGCCAGGGTGCTGCGGTGTACACCCAGTCTTGCTGCTGCTTCGGTGAGTGGTAGCTGCTGCAGCACCTGCTGCAGCGAATCTATTGGTGCTGCTGCTGCTGCTGCTGCTGTTGCTGCTGCTGCTGCTGCTGCTGTTGCTCCCTCTCTACCATCAGCTGTAACCTGCTGCAGCAGCTCTGCTGCAACCACCGCACGCAACTGCTGCTGCTGCTGCTCCTGCTGCTGCTGCTGCTGCTGCTGTGTTGCTGCTGCTGCCCACAAACCACCGGGTGTATAGGCAGATTTCGGAAGAGATGAATTTGCATTTGCTGCTGCGTCTGCGGGTGCTGCTGCTGCTGCTGCTGCTGCTGCTGCTGCTGCTGCAGCAGCAGCAGCAGCCAGCGCCTCCTCTCCAGGCACAGCAGTAGGGTCTACACACACACACACAACCACCACCACCACCATCAGCAGCAGCAGCAAAAGCAGCAGCAGCAACAGCAGCAGCAACAGCAGCAGCAGCAGAAGAAACAGCAGCAGCAGAAGAAACAGCAGCAGCAACACCACCAATGTAGCAACACCACCACCACGAACAGCATCACCATCACCATCACCACCACCACCACCATCAGCAGCAA